AGAAATTAATTAAACAATTAGCGTTTGAAATTGCAATAACCAAGAGAAAGCAGGCATTTATTTGTTACAACTTGCAATATAAAAAACGCTAATGTTAATGGATTTCAATTACCACAATTTGGTTGCGTTCTGATTACAGGCAGGAGAAAGCAAAATGGCGAAATCCTCCTCCCGTGAGTTGTTCGGTACATTAGCTGCCTTGCCGTGACTAACTAGAGTTTATCAATCCCTTTCTTTCTTTCAGGCTCTGTAACCCTACCCTAACTCCCTTCTCCCTTTATACAAAGCAATTTAATAGAAACCCAAAACAGCATTGGCAGTTATAGCTTATGGTGATCGGACCGTCAGCCTTGCAAAAACAGCGCCAGCCGGCATATACGCACTCCAGCAACGGAAGCCTATATATTCTCACCTGGCGGTAGCTCTGCAAGCTTTGGTGGAGTACCTAGTACACGTTCCATGTCAAAGCGAACTTCAATATTTCTGATACTATAACCAACAACCATGAGCCAGTAGAGCAATTTAGCAAGCTCTGGAGCACTTGTCTCTGTCACACTAGTCTGCGAAACACAGACAAATAAAAATTGTTGATAGGAGCCCCATCAGCCAATGAGCAGTATTGCTTCTACCAAAAAGGTAAAACAAGAGGAGTTCTAGCTAAATAGCACTAGTTAATTAGAATAATTCATAAAGAAGGGATACTGGTTTGCATCAATAGTAATAAAAACATAGTTTCCAACTCTAATTACGTTGAGACTATTCCTCAAAAATAAAAAAATTATGTTGAGAATAGAAGCATCATGTCACCTACAAGGATTGTGTCAAGACTAATCTTCTCTTTGAGGTAAATCAAATTTCTATACTGTCACATCTCAACCAGAAGCTGAAAGAATAATTTGAAAGGTTTGTAGCAATTTCCAGTGCAGTACTCTTTAACAATTCCTCAAGGACTAGAATCTAAAGAAGGCTCAGGATTTAAATAAACAAGGAGGAGGAATACCTTCATTTGACTAGGGTCTGAAACAGTTAACAGGCGTTTTATGAATGTATTCATGGCCAGAATCACATCCTCCCCAGCAGTGCTAGTTAATTCCTGGCCAACTTTTCAAATGAGAAACCTAAACACAAATAGAAAACTGCTCTTTCCATTGAACTTTTTCATGCAAACCAATAGTTAACTAATAGATATCTCTCTCCAAACATATGAATTGACCCAAAGCATGTGGAACAGAGTAGCGGCTTTACATCAATCTGATGGGTCATAATTGCAAAGCAACAAAGGTATGCCGCGCTCAACAGATGCTATTGCCTTAAATTTTCTGATATTTACTAAACATAAGCAACCATTATATGCATTTGGAATGCAGGTATTATCCTAACGAGCAAAAAAGGTAAGGACAAAACTTCCCCAAAATGTTCAAGCTGTCGGTTGGTATTATTCTAACCTTTAGATTTTGGGGCTCAAGGGTTTTCAGATAGTCCAATAAGTCATTCTGGCCATCACTAGATTTTCTTTCAATCTGACGGTTGAGTTCCTCTATTTCTGCTTCCAGCAACTCAATGTATTTCACTGCATCTAGTTTTTCAGGACCAGAAACATTGTTCCATCTGATAACTTCTCCAGTCACTTTTTTCTGTGTGCCAGGTGCAAATTCTGGTCCATCCTATACATTCAGGAATAATTGCCCAAAGACATCATCAGATGCATGAAAAGTTTCAGCGAAATTAACAGCCAGTAACATATAAAAATCCAACATACCAATAAGACAAATCAATTAATGCTAAGTGGAAAAAATGTTGAAAATGTACAGAACATGTCTATCATTTATACATGGTATGTGCTTGTAAAACTCCTATAAGCATTTCTCAAGGTGTGTGAATGTTAAAGTGAAATGACTTTTACATCACCTTGTAGGGTTGCAAACCATATTTGCTTAAGTAGCACAAAATTATGTATCCATGAAAAATGAGATGCCAAGCACTCCCTTGTCTAACAAAAAGGAAAACAAGAAAGAATAAACAAATTGACCACTTAAAGTTAAGCAGTGGCAATTACTTTTCAGGACACACTTGATCTTATCCATCACTTCTAGTCCACGTCTTGTTTTCTACAACTGGGAATTTATGACAGGCATGAGCCAGGTCATGACTAAATTATTCATGTTTCCATGTACTTTTACACAAAATGGATGGCCTGTTAGCTTTTCTGTTTCACTGCATCCAATCAAATTTCCCTTCTAGGCTACTTCAATGAGAAAAAATGCAACTCTCACTGGGACCCCAAACAGACCTAGCCTTCCAAGGAAAAGGAAACCAAGTTCTCATTACTTTGCATAAATAAGATGCAAAATATAGCATTCAACCTTCCAAATTGGTGTCTAAAGTCTATACCAATTCTCCCAGCTCAGGCTGCCAGTCTAACACGGAGCACATGCACAGTGTTTCTTTAAAAGTTAAAGATTTCGTTTCCAAGTGCATATACCAAGCATGAGCACATGGCATCTTTTTGCCTCTTTATAACCTAAGAAATAACAAAAAAATAAAATAAAATAAGTCCCCAAATCTTTGTGAGCAATCCCTAGAATAAGGTTCACATGATATCATTGCCATCCCAAAGACATATCCTTGTGATAATTTGATGCATATGAACAGGGACATACATTTACATATCATAACATAGCTTTAACAGCGGAAGCCTTTTTACTTTTGTTTATTTCTGTAATGCAATTACAAGATAGAATACAAATATACTAACAACAAATAAGATAACTTTAACAGCGGAAGCCTTTTTACTTTTTCCTTATTTCTATAATGCAATTGCAAGATAGAATATAAATGTACTAATAACAAATAAGTAAACATGACTAAATCCCAAATTTTTTCCATTTTGATGCCCAAGGATTCAGATTGAATCAACACATTACAGTTAACATGTTATGACAACTATTGGAACTTGAAAACAGCAACACTAATAATCCCTTATCTGATTTACAGGTCTCCCTTATAATGCTGAGGTAGCACATTATATGCATGCTACTCCACTAGCATTAGCGACAACACTTATATGTTCTACCACGTGACAAGATTTCTTTTCACTAAAGACTTGCCCTTATATAAGATTTCTTTTCAATAAAGACTTGCCTTCCACACTAGAAGTCACCAAGGTTGGACGAAGGCACAACCTAATTTCCGAAAATGCCAAAAAGCCAGCAAGCTCAGTTTACTCCATAATTGACGTTAGCTGTCATCCCAAAACGAATAAAGTTGTGCAAAACAAGTAACGACAAGATTTCCAAAGTAAATAAAAAAGGAATAACCTTGCTCTTTGGTGGTTCAGGGAGAGCAACTTGCTCCAAGCTTTGTTGCAATTCTATCCGGTATTGTGCATTCCTGAACATATATCCAGTCATCAGAACACTATACATGAGCTGTGCAAGATTCTCAGCAACCTACAAAGGGTCAATGGATCCCAAAATCAGAATACTTCGAACATATCCAACTTAAACAACGGATAAATTTATTTAACATTTAAACCATGTGGAGGTCCAAAAGTCCAACGTCATAATTCATGAAACGTACAGTGGTCACAGTTACTGCAAAAAATTGCGGCGGCAGTGTCCCTATCATATTTGTCACAGTATGTCGCATAGCTTCAACCACCTAAACAACCAGAGAGCAAATTAAATGGAATACAAATAAAGCACTCTGCCACGTCATTTCAAGGCTGTTTAAGGCAGCAAAAGATCTGTACTCTAAAATCAGAGTTCGACAATTCAATAAAATGATGCCCAGAGTCTTCTCCAATTCAAAATACAACGAATAAATTCAATTATAATGGATTGCAGCAGTGCGTGTTAATGCAAGTAAAGTTGCAACAAGAAAAACCAATCAAAAGGCTGCCTCGTGTCATCTCCGGTTCAAAATTTAACAACCAAAGAATAACATCATTGGCGGCAGCATACAAAAATGCAAATAAAGTTGTAAGAAGAAAGGCCAGTCTAATGCAACCTGGTGCAGCTTCCAATTCAAAATTTACCGGACAAATTCAATCAGAGCACCGTTGGTGGCAGTAGCTAAACGCATAAAACCCAAATGAAGCTGTAACAAGAAAGACGAATGCCGAAAAGAATACCGCGGTAATATAATCAATACCTGCTGGGGTGCCCTCTTAACAAACAATTCCATGAATTCAGGCTGCACATTTTGCACATATTCCAATAGAATTTCCCTCCTGCTTTTATGCTGACGCTCCAAACCAAAGCCCAAATCAAAAGCACAAAACATAAAAATAAAAATAAAAATGAAACAGAAATAAAAACCAAACTTCATATTTCAGTAATAAGAAAAACTGGAACAGGGTTGATACCAGAGTGCCGTTGGAAGGTTGAGAACCAGCAGCATTGGAGTTGTTGTTCTTGTTGTTACTGTCCTCACTACTGCTATCAAAAGATTGAGCTCTCAAGATTAATCTACCTTTGTAAGCTGATGATTTCGTCCGGCAATTAATCGAGGAAGAATTCTGCCAATTGTTACGCCAGGATACCAAAGCCAACGAACAATTTGACGACGAAGCTGAAGCTGAAGGTGAAGAAGATGACTGTGATAACAACGATGGTCTCAAAGTCAAGGACGACATTTTAGAATTGTTGATAGATAATTAACGGACAAAAAATATTGAGCAAATTGTAAGCAGTTTTTGGAATTATTTGATGCTTCAGTCCATCCCCAAAACCCCTCTTTTATCACTCGTCTTCTCCCTCACTCCATTAACGATAACACTGAGACAGGCACTAATATATTCTACGCTTCTGATCTGTGTCTGAGGAAGACTTAAGTTTGTTGGGTTGGGCTTCTGATTCTATGGCTGTGCCCCAAGGATGCTACGACGTAGTATCCTTTGTGGTTTAGGCTTTCATACCCCCTCGCAGCCGTGTGCCCGAGGCTTCTACTTCTTATTCTTCTTTTTTTTTTTTTTTTGGTTGGTTGGAGTCCCGCTATAACCAAGCTTCTCCAACTTAAACACTATTCACGAGCACTCAATTGTAAAGATTCTTCAGCTCAATTAAATGAAATCTCAGTTCTATTCTGGGGAATTTTTCGACCAATAAAATTGTTCCGAATAAAATTTATAGATGTAGGGTCCTTATTTGTATAATTTGCTGCTAATTCATTGGTCGAAAAAAGGTAGTTGGTCCGAATCATGATAAAAATTCTTGGTTCTATTTGTTAATGTTGTTAAAGTCGTACTAGATATTGATTCGTCTAAACTACTGGGTCTGGGGTCAATTGGTCGGATCCCTCTAAAAAATCTATTGATGTCTGTATGATGTCATAATTTTTTTTATGTTTTTATAAGTTTTAGAAATATTGAAATTAAATTCTTAGTTATATTCAGCCAATCATACAAAATGTTTCAAAAATATTAGACTTTTGCAATCGAATATACACCTAAGAATTATATATAAAAAAGCAAATACATAACTAAAATATGTCCATTCTCCAAAACTATATGAAAAACTAAATTAATGCAAGTTGGAATCACTTATACTAAATTGATAAGATGATAGGGATGAAAACATCTTGATTTAGAGATCATTGAGAAAAGCGAGTGATTTGGTATTTACACTAAGTGGGTGATGTTTTCTCATTCCTATTCATAAATGAAAGTATTACAATTTAAGTAACTCAAAAATTATGTTTAGGAAAAACAAGAAAAAAAAAGTTTGAAAATTGGGTCAATAATTTAGTTGATTTTTATGATTTTGACTAATATTTTATCAAAATGGTTTTGCACTACAAATCAGTTCAAAAACCCGGTCCCGGATTCATTTCAACCGATAGGTGATTCCAACTTCGGAGGGCTTTGGACCGATCAAACTTACCGGTCTGATCCGGGTCTAACAACACTACTATTTGCGATTAAAAGAAAAACTTAAGCAATACTCTTTTTTTTCTTTTTCCCTAGCTCAGGGAGGCTCTAATATATAAATGGCTCAAGATTTCGCTCAATGGCAGAATTGGACTACTTTGTACTGCGATGTTACCATGATCAATCCTTACTTAATCTGTTTCTTAATGTCATAAACTTTTGGATCTTGGAAATTCTACGACACTTTTGAAACAGAATCGTGGACGCGAGATAACAAACCTGTAAAATAACAACCCCATGCTGTACCGGAGTGTACGTGTTCCTTAAAAAAGAGAGAATGGCTTATTGGTTTTGGAATGATGGTTGGATGCCTTGCTTAGTTCTTAATGTCCCGACACTTTTAAAGCAAGATACGAGGAACCAATCATGCTAACTACACACATATCCAGCTTGTCTCTTTTCTTCTCCTTTAGTGAATGTTCTTTTGGGTTTCTTTTTCTTTTGTCTGGTTGGGGTTTCGCCAACCTTTTTACTGGATGCGCATCATGTCACTACCCCCCCCCCCCCCCGGTCTCTCTCTAGCTCTCTAATGTTTTCTTAATATAAGACGCAACAGAGGATCATCTATGTTAAAAAAAAATCACACTCTTGTTTCTACAATGTGGTTTACCACAACATGGTATACCACATTGTAGGATTTCTCACCAAATCATGGGGGCATGACTGATGATTAGTTGTGACAAGCACTTATGACCCATTAGCTTCAGTTCTCTACGGAAATAGGACGACATGTATGTGAATGTCCTTTCACCTTTTATTCCTTGTGGTAAAAACC